GGGCCCGGAGCGTGGTGGAGCGAGGGAGTGACAGGCCCGGTGGGCGCCCTGGGGGAAGAGGCCAGTCTGCTGCCCACACCCTGAGCCCACTGAAGCTGGAAGACCGCCAGGCCTGGAGCGCTCTGAACAATTTAGCTCCTCGGTGCATGAGAAGCCCAACGGAGTAATGGGTGCTGATGAGTTTCGCACCCGGAGTCTGAAGAAAATGAGTCATTAAAGGCATTCAGGGACTTTGCTGTGTAGCGAGAGACTAGTTCTCACTAATGTTAAAGGCTGAGATTTCAGCCCTTGGGAAGAATCAAGGACCAAGTTCCTGGTTGCGATTGGCAAGGGCAGAGAGGTCTTTAAAGAAGAGCAAGGTTTCCTGTCGGTGGGCACAGGAGAGGAAGAGGAGAAGAGAAATTCACATCTCTTCCGAAGTCTGTCGCGGGAAGGACTGGAGCAAGATGGGTACCTAGACCCCTCAACTTAATGTTCCACGTTGCTGGCTTTGTGGTAGGGTTTGCCACGCTCTAGTTGTTACACTGGGAGAACATTCAGCCTGCAATTTGTATCTCTGTTACTTGATTTTGGCCTGGGGACAACAGTTTTATCCCCTTTGAGCCTAAACTCTTTCTTGAGATTGTTCTGTTTCTAGACATTTTAGCAACTCCAACTTAGAGTCGACCCTAGGCTTTAGAATGCATTTTCTACTGTATCATTCGACTCATTTACAAAAGGGAACTGTTTGGACTACTCCCTCACCCATCATACCTTAGCTAATAATTCTACCGCCAGTAACTGCGATTTGTGGTCACTACTTACCACCGCTTGCAACCCAGGCTCTCTAGGGCAGAGACGAAGTCTTACCCAGTTCATATCCCTAGCAACTACCAAAGTGCCTGATAAATAGTAGGAACTCAGTATGTTTGTTGAACTCCCCAATAAGCAATTCTTTGCATTTCTGTCTGCTCTGGGGTATCAACATTTCTCCTTTCTGAACCCAGGTCCACTGGGATTCCTGGGATGAAGAGTGACGGGAAATAGCTCACGAGGTGTACATTACTCGGTTATTTCACCGAGTAATAGAGAATCTACCGAGCTGTAGATTCCACCTCTGCCTCTTCCGGGTACAACAAGCATTTATGTTCTTTACTGGCCTTTTATCTTTGACTTCACCTCTAGGTCAGTACTAGGCACTGCAGACGGTGACATGTGTTGCAAGATGGTAAAAGGAGACAACTAGGTAAAACAGTCTCACAAAACTAGAACACTGTTTTTGAGCTGGTGATTAGGGTAGCGGTATAATCAATCATTCGTATATTTAAAGCTAAGAATAAGACAGCCGGCTTGCTGCAAGGTTGGCTCGTAGAAAGGCAAGGACCCTATTTTTAAAGACCAAATGTTTCATGCACTTCTGTGTCTGACCTAGAAAGTGATTTATTTCTCCATTTGCAGGAATCAGTACTGGAATTAATATTAATCAATGGCAAGGGAGACCAGAACAGAGGATGGTCCTGTGATGGATGGTCATAAGCTTCTCCCTGCTGTGAAGTATCTTTCCTTCAGAAACGACTCTTTCCATTCCTTTCATGTATTTGCCTTCTCTGGAAGACTCATGAGCTTCTTAGGACAGCCTTTACTTTGTATTTGAGGCCCAGAGAAGTCAGGCAATTTGTTCAAGCCCGCACAGCTAGTTAGGGGCAGAGCCGAGCCTAAAATCTTGGGCCATTTCCAAATCCAGTGTTCGCCCTACTGTATCACACTGTGAAACTCTTGAGTTGATCACTGTGAGTGCTTAATAAATATTAGATTTCTAACAGCAGCCTATTTGCTTCTGATTGCTGACTAGTTCACTTCAATTCATATTTATTTGAACCGAAAACCACTGCCTTCTGACAGCTGGTCTATTGTTTATAGGAAATGAGTTGGTGGGCGAATTCCAGCCCTGTTGGACAGCAGAACCCATCACAACAAATCAATGTCAAAAATAGCACTTCAGGAGGAATACGTGCCACTTATTTAGTACCCCCAGTGGAGTAGCTCAAAGTGATTTGAAAATGTCTCATTAATCCACATGACACCCCTGCGGGATAATAATAATATTATTCCAATGTTTAAGCATAGAAATGTGGCAAAGCCAACAGCGTCTCTGAGCATGTGCAGATTTTCCTCATATTTCAAGTCCTCAATAGTAGACCCTAAATAAAACCATCAGGTTTGCAAGCAGCAAGGGTGAATCTTGGTTTGGGCTTTCTGTGTTGCTCTGGACATAGCTTGAGTTTCTTACTGGTCACAACAGTACTAAGAGTAGCTTGTCGACGGTCTGCCAGATGGTTAGCAGCTTCTGGAATTAGTCCAGAAGTGCTGGAGAGTGGGGCAAGGCAGGTCTAGAAGTTACCACTAATTACAATGATAGATAAATGAATGAAAAAGAAACCCCGCCTGCTATGTGCAAGGCATCGGAGTATGGAGTTTGAATGAGGAGCTTGCCCTCAAAAGACTTACATGGAGTTGGAAAGACAGGATACAAGTTTGTGAAATCTTTACAACCGCATTGTGCCAGAAATGTCACAAGCTGCCCTGTGACTATTTGGTCCCTTCTAGCCAAGCTGCTACTGGCTGTTTCTCATTCATACTAAACTGGTTCCTACCTCAAGGGACTTTGTACTTGTTCTTCCCTCTGCCAGAAACACTCTGCAGGTATTCGCATGGCTTTTCTCCATTACTTTTGGTCTCCACGTAAAATATCTTGGGGCACCTGCGTGGCTCAGTCTCTTAAGTGTCCGACTTCAGCTCAGGTCATGTTCTTGTGGTTTTTGGGTTCGGGCCGCGCGTCGGGCTCTGTGCGGACAGCTCAGAGCCTGGAGCCTGCTTCGGATTCTGTGTTTCCCTCTCTCTCTGCCCCTCCCTGCTTGTGCACTCTCTCTCTCTTTCTCAAAAATAAATAAAATTTAAATAAATAAAAAATAAAAGAAAATGTCTCTTCATCAGGGATAATTTCCCAGACCACAACCGGCTGATTTCAAAGAGTTCCCTTTCCTTCCCCCCCTTGGTAACTTTCTAATCTCTTACCTGCTTTATTTTTCCTTACTCTATTTATTTCTTTGAATTTATATTTTCCATTTATTTGGTCACTTGCTTATTGACGATCTCCTGCACTAAAACATAAACTCCCCAATGGCAGGGTATTGACTTTTTTACTTGTATGTCACCAAAATCTAGACTAATACCTGACACACAAGAGGCGCTTAATCAGTATGTGTTGAATGGTGGAAAGAAAGGTGCAGAGCGAACGCACGAGGCATAGTAAGGTCCAGCGAGTGAATCAGTTTGCTGGTATAGAGGGGTTATTTTGGAGAATTATCTGTCCAGTTCTGGTTCTCTCTCCCAGAACCAACTAGGCTGTGCAGATATGCATTAATTTGTTTTTTAAGTGTCACTTCCTCTTTCTCTACCCTCCTGGATGGGTCTGTCCTGAACTCTGGAATTTTATTCTAAACTGCCTACTTAGATATTCTTCCTGATGAGACCCCAAACTTAATATTTATAGCACTGAACTCATTATCTTTCTCTCCAACGTTGTTCCTCTTCCTGTTTTTCATACTTCATGCTAGAATACAAAGTCATCCCTCAATCTCTCCTCTGCCCCCCACATCCAGTTGGTCACTAAGTGCTTTCTCTTCTCCATCCAAGTCCCTCTCAAGTTCTGTCCTCACCTCTTCATTCTCACTGCCACTGTCCCAGTTCAGGCTCTCCATTTCATAACAAGCTCCCTGCTTCCAGTCTCTCTTTTATGTATTTCATACCGGGAAGTAGCTGAGTTATTTCTGTAAAACATAGATTTGGTCACATTGCTCTCTAGTGCTGCCATGATGGCTGAACCCTGGTGCTGACCTGACCTTCTGGCAGCCATCTTCTGTGTTCTTTCCATACCACTTACTGGTCCTTGGACATGCCAGCCACCCCCTTGCACACAGCCATGCATCTGCTCATGCTCTAGCTCACTGGACACCCTTTCCACCTTATACCCACTGGCGAATTCAGTCTTCAAGGCCCAGCTTAGATGTCAACTCTTCTGACACCCCCACCCTCCCGGTCAGCCATGTTTACCACTTCAAAGAAACTCAGCAAAAGTGATTATAAAGGAATTCATGATTTTCTTTCTCATCAGAAGTACTATCGCATTTTGTTCAGAGTTCCATAAGAGGGCTTTACTGTACTATATTTAGTGTGTATGTGATGATCTGTGTCCCTATGAGAGTGTGAACTCCTATTAATAGCTAACATATTGAGCAGTGAACACACAGTAATAAGCCAGGACTCTGCTAAGCACTTTATATGCAGTAATCTCCAACAGCCCTGTGGGTAGGCAATATGACTGCTGTACTATTCTACACCTGGACAAATAGTGTAGGGTGGGAAAAGTCACTTCTGCAAGATCATACAGAATTAGGACATGGCAGAACCAGGATTCGAACGAAGTCCACATCCCTAGACCACCTTTGCGAGGGTTAGAGGGCTTGTCTCATTCATCTGTGTATTTCCAGTCTCCGATATTGTGCAGGTATATGATAAATGATTTTTGAATAATATAATTTAAGAAAAACAATCACGAGGCATAAATGCTTATTCACTAAAATCTGATGGATAGACCGTGACGAAGGTGTTAGTCCTGTACCTCAACACCAAGGCTATAAAATGCGCTTTCTTGAATTTGTACCATTTTTAAGAAGAAAGATGCTAGACACAGGGAAGAGGTTATTCTAGAATAGATGCAGATACAGGTTCTGCCTGGGGTTAAGATGGCTCTCAGAATGAACCAGCAGTCTAGTCTGTGTTCTCACATGGCAGGGTGATTTTCAGAAAATAACTTCTATTCAGAGAAGACTGGAATTCTGTCAGAAAGTATGGCAGCCGAAGAGATACAAGTATTATGTTAGGCCAAGCATTTAAATAAGTCCCGTGTTTCTTCTTAAGCTTCCGGGTAGGAGAGAGTACAGACACTGAAATACCTGCATGGCTTTTGCTCGTTCTGGTTAATGTATTGAAAAATCAGGCAGTCACACTCCTAATCATAGATGAGCTGTGCAATTAATGAGACAAGCAGTAGAGCCCTCTGTATGTACCAATTATTTGTTGGCAGATGGGAATCTTAACATTTGTAGAGACAATTGAATGGTTTTAGATCACTGCCAAACGTATTAACTTTCTTCTAGCAAGAGGTCCATTACACGTAATACTTTCACCGTGGTTTTTCTCAAAGTGGACGTGATAAAGAATGCTTATTTATTTATTTTTTAACGTTTTTTTAAATTTATTTTTGAGACAGGGAGAGACAGAGCATGAACAGGGGAGGGTCAGAGAGAGGGAGGCACAGAATCTGAAACAGTCTCCAGGCTCTGAGCTGTCAGCACAGAGCCCGACGCGGGGCTCGAACTCACGGACCGCGAGATCATGACCTGAGCCGAAGCCGGCCGCCCAACCGACTGAGCCACCCAGGCGCCCTGAAGAATGTTTAAAAATATCTGGAAAACTCCTTGTGTTTCTTCACGTTCCTTGTGTGAAATACTTGTTGTGAGGATACGGGTGAACCACAATAAAATTAATTTGGAGAGATAAAAGGGGTGGTTTTAGTCACATGACTGAGTTGATATTAATGTGAACTGTTGATCATAAATTGACATGCAACTGTAAAACTTCAGCAGACATTTACAGGAATCTACTGAAATAGATCGAGGTTTTGAGCAAGGTTTTTTTTTTTTTTTTTTTTTTT